TATATATATATATATATGATCTCATACAATATATGCACATCGATATTTTTGATAAAAATAAATTAAGATTAAAATCTTTAACAAAAATTACTTATAAAATTAGTTATTGTAGTACTTTAATATTCTATCTGGAATTTATTTTTTTTATTAAGACTACAAGTCAAAAATTTATACATAAAATTATACGTCCCGATATTTCGTTACGTCAACTTATTCCTATGTTTTCTAATAATTAATGATGTCTTAGAAAATAATCTTTCCGCTAGATCCGATAATCTGATCGCTGCTTAACTTATCGACTAGATTTATTCAAAGTCAATAAATCAATACACTGAAAGCGTGTACATACAATTCGAAAAAGTATTGTATATATTGGGAAAAATACATTTTCAATTAAAAATCACTATGTGATACATTTTGCTATATTTATTCGAATGAAATATTTTATTATACTTTACTATTATGTATTGTAATTTTTATAATGTTACTAAACTATTATAAATAACATACATTATTATTATTTTATTGAAAAAATTATATTTTTATTAATTTAGTATAAAAATTAGCAAATTAAAAATTTTGCGTGTATACAATTACTAAATTTTATATTGATTATTTAATAATAAATAGTCTCAATAATTTTTCTCTAATAATAATATACTCACAAGATGCAACTTTAAATAAAATTATTTTAAAAATATGCTTTAAACCAGATATATTCATTTATTTTTCCAAAAATTTAAATTACTACTATTATTAATACACAAATCAATAAAAATATTTAAAAATTGAACTAATTATAAAAATTTAATTAATTATATATAAAATAGTGAATAATAGTGAATAATAGTGAAGTTTAATCGCACAAATCATAGAAGAAATTGAAAAAACGCTTATTATAATTATTGAGATCGAAAATCGACTCGAGAACGAGATTATCATTGTTGAGACCAAGTCGATACCGAGACGAGATGAAAATTTCGAGATTGAGACGAGATTTGAGCTAGTCTCGCCTCACTTCGGCCAAATCACTACCACCGAGCAAGACGCGTTCAAATTCTAAATTTATCTTTGATGACGTGCAGGATGCGACGAACAGGATGAGCGGTGAGAGAATACTTTTCGCCACACAAACATCGACTGCTTTTATCACTGTCAGATTTACGCGAGAATACCTAAATGTCTTATACGTGAACTTGCTGATCCTGTTCAAACAAGACGGTACCAACTTGAAACACATTTACAAACGATCATGTAAACCGACATGTCATACGATGAAGTTTGCCGCGACTGACAACAAAAATATGGATTTCTAATAATAGATAAGGAAAGTGTGCTTACAAATGGTAGATACAGAAAAGGATTTAACGAGCAGTGCGATAGCATAACGTAATCAGTCGTTGTCGATATTTCGCTAGAGATGAATATGGCAGATATGCGCGAACGTGAAAAAATCGTGAGGGATATTGAGAAAAGCGAGTCGATTCGCAAGAAATCGCGCTCTAAAGACTAGTAGAATCGAGGAGAACATTGCGTTAGACAGATATTTTAAACTCTTATCAAGCTGCTGCGACCGTTCGTTGACAGCTCCGGCGTGCGCGCGACAAAAAGAGAATCGCGCGATGATAACGCATAATTTGCCTCTAAACGTGAGAGGAAGGAGGAGAAGAAGGAGGAAAAGAAGAAGCAAGAGGAGGGAGAAGAAATGAACAAAATGTTCGAGCGTTCCGCAACTCTGCGTAAATCCAATGATCGATTGCACGATTGTATACAATCGATAACCTTTAGCCCGCGTACTAAAATCGAACTGATGATAGAATCGGAGAATTGGAGAATGTTTTCGAAACGATGGAAGACTCGCTGGCGACGAAGATTCAAAATTAGCTGCAAACGTCGGAAAATCGAGAGACGTTACGAGCCAGCTTGAGTCCGCTGAGTCAAAAGTACGCCGAGGCTGTTCTTAGGGGAGCGCAAGATATAGATTACGGCGTTTACCTACACAAGGATGGACTGATGTTTGGCAATAAACGTTTTGACGAAGATGATGTGGACAACATAATTATCGAAACACATAATCGCACCGTTGATGTCGATTACACCTAAGAAGCAGAAGAAATCTGGAAAGGGATTATCTCACGCAACGACGCGATTGATTACATGCACTGGGATGATTCCAACGAGCTGGGATGATACCAACGATCGACGCTCGTGAATTTAAAAAACGAGACGTATGTATAAATGTATATATAAACGTATAAATAAACTTGTGACAAAGAAAATACGTAGAAAGATGTGATAAAACGTGTCGCGATGTTCAAAATTCTTGGAAAGAGTGAGAGGCCTGTCTCCCCTCTTCGACTCCAGAAGTACTACCATATACATCACAATTTTCGCGGATACAATCAGTCTTGCGATACCCGCTTGTACGAACGGTTGAAAAATGTACAATACTTCGCCAAAGAGAGTAGCGCATCATACGACGTGAAGAAGGAATATAACGTGTAAGTTTCCACGTTCTATACACAAAAAATAATTTTTAACATTATGTATGTACACATATGGAGCACCGCGCGATTTACTGAACGGACGTTACGACCTGACGGTATAAAAATTTTTGGAAATTGGAATCAACGTTGGCCCACCGAGTTATGTGGAGATCGCTCTGGGAAATCATCGCGGACATGAATTGTCGTTGTCTTTCGAAACGTGGAAGAATCTCTATGAGCAGCGATGGAATATTTACAAAATGCTTCGAAACGAATACAAAGACAATTTCATAAGCATTGGACCGCTAATGGCCAGAGTTTGCACGCTGAACGATACTACGCTCAATTATACGTCTCAATTTTTCATTTGTACGCATGACCGAAATACCATATATGTATGTTTGAATTTGATGAGTGTATCGATGTAATGTTCGAATTAGCTCGATTCGTCGATTTGATTGATGTTAAGTATATGCGATTCTCCAATATCGCGTCTAAGAACGCTAAATGCGATAGCGACATCTTCAATGGACATCAACTCGTCGATTATGAGCTATTAGTTTTAGTTTTTAGTATATACAAAAAATCAGTGTAATAAGGTGTGAATAAAAAAAAGAATTCGTTCGCATCACTATATATATGTACTTTATTTTACTATCCATCCTTTGCCCTGATGTGCTGATAAAAAAGAAACAGGAAAAAACACAACGTATTGTGAAAACTAAGTCATACAAAAAGAGAAAGGAAAAAAAGAATGTCGTATTTTATCGTCGTGCTCTATCTTTTTCTAACATGCGAGCCTTTGTGACTGATGCATTTTGGGGAAGGTGGCAGTGGGCGGCGCGTGACGAAACAAATACGAAACGCATAGCGAAACGTCATCACGCGTATCATGTTTAATTTATCAACCGGAGTACGAACATAAACATAGAAACATAAACATAGGATCCTACTTATCACTGTTTACATAAACAACGATGCCGACGATCGGGTACTTTTCCCGTGCTGCCCTTTCCCTACGAGTATCCCTCGCGCTCCGCTTCCTCCGCGAGTATCCTCGCGCACTGCGCTCCCCTTTAGCCCTATGAGTTAGAATCTACCTTGCAACTATCGAAGTTCCAATGATATTAA